TTCCTACCTCTGGTTCGATCTTTTGCTTTCAATCATTTGACGTGGGACTCAAACCGAATGATAGTTTTTTGTGTATGTAGTCTATAACATTATTTAACCAACAACTTCTTGACCTAGGTAGTGTTTTTTTATAGATAAAATCATCAGGTGAACATCGAATTGGAATGACGAAAACTGATTACTTCACCTTGTCCAAATTGTTTTAAGAATTCCGAATAATCTTAGGAGTGAGTCACCCCGACGCGCCATAAAAAAAAAGTTTAATAGTTCATCACGTTTTAAATCTGGAAGGACGTATATATTTTTCTATCAACAAATTGTTTTTCCTTTTCTTAAAAAAATATTACAGTAAACTTTTGTTAATCCACATTTACATATACAAAGCTTATACATTTCAAAACTGTACGTGCAAATCAGCAAATATTTTGTGGATCAATTTTAAAGGTTTTCACTCAAAACTGAGGAGAGCTTATAAAAGTAGGCAACTATATATGCATGATGCTTGCACACTATCATATCATCTATCACAGTCATCTATTGTGCTACTTTTTTTGTTTTTGTCTACATTACATATAATGAGATCACATTGTTTTAGGTAAATATCAAATATTCAACAAATCTTGATGTACCGAACGACACAAAACAACAATATTCTAGGTTTTTGATAAAGTCCGTCATTTGATAAATGCGATACAGGAAAGTGTAGTATTTTTTTCCTTTTCGATTGGACGAATATATATGATTGATAGGTTTTTAAAAATTTAGCTTATGCATACACATGGCTATATTGCTTTCTTAAACTATACGTATTAAAAATATCTAACGAACATGCGATAACACAGCCAATTTCATGATTTTTGTCTTATACAAAAACAACCATTTCGGTCATCTTCCGTAATCAACTCAACTGCCGACGTTAATCCATTAATAACCTTAGCCTCAAAATCGAACCTAATTAAAGTTTGTTGGTTTATAGTACGGTTTAAATTACCAGGAACCAATGGTTTGGGATGAACAAAATAACCTATATATGTACTCGTGGTGAATGGTGACTAGAAAACATTGCAGCAAGATCAGTCTACTAAAATAGCATCATGTGGTTATGGTTCAGTGGCATACAATAAGTGAAATTTATTGAAAAGTTTGTAAAATATTGTAGAACAAAATTAGGTGGAGGAAAATATATAAATAAATAGATATGAGGAAGCTTAGTCCTACAATATTGTCGTGTCAAATGTTCTACACAAATAAAGATTGTTTCGGAATTAGAATTTGAAACTTCTTGAATAAACAAAACAAAATAATTAATAAGTGGGACGTAACTCAATAATGGTATGAAGAAACATCAATGATTCAATGTAAGTTTGTTAAGTTTGGTTTCGTCGATGTAACAAGAAACTTTTAAAGTTATGAAAATTTTATCCACAATTTCTCTATTTAACTGAAAAGAAAAAAGATTATATATCGTGAAAAGGAATATCAACCACCCTCCTCTGCACTGCAGCAGCGTCACATATAAACGTCACGCTCTGTAACACTCTCAGCTTTGTTCAGAAGCTACATGGTAATAAAAGTACAAAATCCCAAAGTTTTTTCTCTTTTTTTGGGTGTTTAATTCTCAAGGACGTTCGACAACACGTTAACATTCCGAAAGATTAAAAAAAGAAAACATTTTCCCCATATGTAAATTCAGCAATAAAAAAGAAATATACTATATTCAAAAAGATCTCTGAGAAATATACTATATTAGTCTTTAATTATTTTCCAAAATTTACCCAATACTGAAAAAAAAAATAGAAAACAAGAACTACTAATCAATTTCAATAACACAATTTCACTAATTTATTGGGCCAATCTTTTAATTTTGTGGGTCTTTGTTTCGCGGTGAAGCGGTTGACACACGCTGATTCTCTCCATATATACACACCTGAGGAAGACGCTTGTCGATAGAAACACTCTTCATTA